AATCTAGATTCCGCGCATCATGCATTCTATATTGCTGTTTTCCAAATTTCAAACCTCAGAGTTTCACTTTCATGAATCATGTATACGAGTCTCAAGTACTTCTAATCAATCAATATTTAATAAGATATACGAAGTACTCCGTATATATTATAAATATATTACTCGGTATCAAAATAACTCCAAAATAAATACTAGTATATCAGATAAAGGGTAAAATTTTAGAATTTTTCCATTAATAATAATTTATTTTGTCCTAAAAAGTTTGGCAAAATTTTCTATTTAGCCGTCTCAAAAACTTGGGGCCTGTTTACTAACAGTGATATTTTCCAGTTTTCTTGAAAACTGAAAAACTAGAAAAAGGAAAACAGAAAACGTGTTTATCAAATAAATTTGTTGGAAAACTGGAGAAAGGAAAACAGAGAAATGTGTTTACCAAATCATTTTCCAAAATAAAAAAAAATGACATATGTCTCTATTTTCCTTAATGAATTGGAGAAGTGACTTTAATTTTACTAGTTTTCCAAATTTGGAAAACGCATATGTTGCAGTGCCGCTGCAATGAATTTGCATACTTACGCCTAGTGGTGGATACGGTCCCACTCCGGTGTCAGTTCTAGTCCAGTCCGGCTAACGTCCCGACGGTCACTATCTGATCCGGTCAATGACCCGGTGGTCCGGTCCCTGTCAGTTCGATCAATGGCCGAGCAATCCCGATCAGGTCCGGTCGACGACCCGGTGGTCCTAGTCCGGTCCGGTCAATGACCCGGCGGTCCCTATCCAATCCGGTCCACGACCCGGCGGCTAGGGCGGTGCACGGGTCGGGTTCGGGCGGGTCGGGTTTGCGAACCCAAAACCCGTTCGGGTTTTTTAATTTAAATACTAGGCCCGACCCTTTGATATTTCGGATCGGGTATTTTGGATATTTTTAAGTCGGATATTATCGGATATCGGGTCGAGTTTCGGATATTTCGGTTATATTAAAAAAATATATAATTGAATAATTAAAGTGTTTAAATTCCACTTTGACAAAAATTGTACACACTAGTGCACTAAACATCCAAATTACACAAATAATTTAACCCAAATTGCACAAATAATTACACAAATAATTGAACACAAGTATTAATTTAACATATTCAAAGTACACGCTACATAATTTAATATACTTCGAATATTTCGGTTATATTAAAACACATTATAATTGGATAATTAATGTGTTGGAATGCCACTTTGACAAAAATTATACACACTAGTGCACTACACATTCAATCTATACAAATAATTTAATACAAATTGCACAATATAATTAGATTAATTACACAAATAATTGGATGCAAGTATTAATTTACCATATTCAAAGTACACACTAACATATATTTCGGATATTCGGGCGGGTCGGGTTGGGATTTTACAAACCCTACCCGCCACCCGATCTAGACCCAATATTAATCGGATTTTCGGTTTCGGGTTTTTTGGGTCGGATATCCACTTCGGTTTGGATAATATCCGAAAAAAATATCGGGTTTTTCGGGTCGGATCGGGTTTTGCTCAGCCCTACCTGCGGCCCCTTTCCAGTCTTATACACGACCCAACAGTCCCTGTCTGATCCGATCGATGACTTGACGATCTCAGTCCGATCGACGATACGATGATCCCGGTCCGGTCTGGTCCACGACCCGACGGTCCATGTCTGGTCCGATCGATGACCCGACGGTTATTGTTCGGTCCAATCCACGATCACGTGGTACCTGTTCGGTCCGGTCGACGGTCGGGAGTCTCGGTCCGATATGGTCTAGTCCATGACTCGCAGCCCCCGCCTGGTCTAATCAACTACTTGGCGGTCTCCGTCCTGTCCGATCAACCACTCAGCAGTCCTGTCTTATCCGATCACCGACCCGGTGGGCCCTATCTTGTCCGGCCAATAACCCAACGGTTTGTATTCGGTCTGGTCGACAATCGGGCAGTCCCGGGCCAGTCCCGTCAATGACCCGACGATCCTTGTTCGCGCCGGTCAATGGCTCAGTGGTTTGGTCTCCTTTGTTTGAAATCATTTTAAAAGTGAAGAGTTTTAAAAGAGCCGTTGAATTGTCAACCAATAAGGAATTGAGAAAAGAATTTGTCAAACCAACGGTTGAGATCGATCGAGACCAACTGGTTTCGATCCCGACTTTCATATTCGTGGGACCTGGTTCTTTACTTGGGTTGTACTAGGTTCGGTTGAGGACTGGTACCGTATTTTCGGCTTACTGGTCGGACACAGAATCGGGTGAAAAAGTTCGATGAACATGTTTTCAGATTTGAAAATGGAAAACTAAAAAATGAAAACAGAAAATTGGAGATAGAAAAAACAAGAAAATGAAAAACAGAAAATCTGATAACGGAAAACCAAAAATAGAAAACTGAAAAACATCTCTGTTAGTAAACAGGCCCTTGAACTTTCACGTTTGTACAAATCTCCACGGCACAGCTCAAGGTCGTCTAATAAGTTTTAGAGACTGTGTTCTAAACAATGAATTGGGGTCCCGTAAAATAAGAAAAAAATAGTGGTATATTATTATGTAACTAAGTTTCATTAAATACAAAAAGATTAGACAGTTCAATGAAATATAAATTTTATAATATTTAAGTTACACAAATTAGACAATCTTAATACAATATTGCATAGCCAATGAACTTTCACTTGGATATGGCAGTCCTCTTAACAGTCTTTCAAGCAAAATCATTAGTCAAATCTTTATAAAAATGATTTCTTTTCCCATTTTTATAAAATAAAAAGTTTCACACGTTATGCAGTAATACATGACAACTAGAAAAATTAAACATATTAATTTTGGAGACCCCATATAGAGTTGGATCTGGTGCTAAGCATCAATTGCACCTCCTAAAAGACGGCTTTGCTTCACAGGTTTTACTTTATTATCCTATATGTCGGTTAATTTAGCCAAATTTGGTGGGACAAAAGGAGTATTATTTTGTTGAATGTGAATAAGATAATTGAAAGAGAAAAGAAAAAGAAGAAAAAAGTCAGGATTTCCAAGATGAAGAAAATGAAATTGTGGTCAAATTCTTAATATTATGATGATGGAGAAGAAAATAAATGAAGAAAAAGAAAAAAGTAAAAAATCAAAAAAATTGACAAAGATAGAAATAGATGGGCGGAGAAGAGCATAGCAATGAGAGTTTTTTAAAGAGTTGTGATGTATTTGGGACCCGCATATCATATGCATGATATGACCACAATATAATTGGGATAAAAGAATGATACAATAACCATCAAAGATCAATATTTATATCTAGGTCTGTCAATGGGTCGGGTCTAGACCCGGACCCGGTTGTTTTTAACGGGTATGGGTCCTTATTTTATTCCGTTTATCCGGACCTGAACCCGGATCCGTTAGTACTTTTAATAAACGGGTCGGATATGGTACATATGATTCCGACCCGTTGAGGACCCGGACCCGTTTAAAATTTCTTATTAGTATATATACACACACTAATACATAAAGAGGTTAGTTATAATACTTCAAATAAAAATACAAATTGATATATATATATATATATATATATATATATATATATATATATATATATATATATATATATATATAAGTGATTAGTTTTAATTCTTTGATTAAAATTATACAAATTAATACATACCTAATGTATAAGTGATAATATAATAGTATATAATATGCTTTTAGTCCAAAAGAACTTTTTGTGACCTAATTTCTAGTCTAATATACGATTTTTCTGTGGGAGAGAAAGAGACACAAAGTGCGGAATTGTACGCATCTACAACAAACGATATTTTATTCAATAAAAGTACTAATTTTCTATGATAAAACTTGATTTTTTTTTGAAAAGTGAAAATACATTTTGCGTTTAAATTTGTGCACTTTGATTTACATTTCATATACATGTTTTGCTATTTTTAAAAAATTATATAATGTTGTGTCAAAAAAATTATATAATGTTGTGCACTTGTGCATACGATTCTTGGCGGGTCTACCCGACCCGGTTCCGAGACCCGTTGGGTCCGGGTCCAGGTCCAAATTTTTAGACCCGCCGGGTAAACGGGTCGGGTCCGGGTCCTTTATTTACTTAGTGGGTCCGGGTCTGGAACACTACGTTCCGACCCGGACCCGACCCATTAACAGGTCTATTTATATCCTTCAATCAAAGAAATTTATTGGAACTAGGGCGTAACTCACCTTATGGGAGAAGATATGTACAACAAGAGAAATTTTAAGTTCAACTTCAAGTAAAAACTTAAAATCAGGTCGTAGCTCATCCAAATTGTATTATTCTAGGGTATTTGAAATTGATTCTTTTATTTTTTTAAACATAAGAATCGATTTTTAAAAGTTGATACTTCTAAAAAATTGTTTCTCGAGTTTTAAAAAACAATTTGGAGCATTAGAAAATACTTTCTACATTTTCATCCAAACAAATATCTCCTTCATAGATTTAAAGAGTGCATCAAACCACCCCCAAAGCCTCAAATGATTATCCTACATAAATTTAGGGGAAAACTATCAAATAGGTCCTCGAACTTTCATAAAAAGTTCAATTAAGTCCTTCTATAGGAGGTTCTGTCCGGCCGTAGCGATTTGGGTCAGTTCCCGGTGGAATTTTTTGATGAAATTTTTTAGCATCTTATTCACCAAGTCTAGTTTACTCATACCAAATTTCAGCTAAAAATTCAACCGGGAACACATTCAAATTAATTCTTGAAGATAACTGCGCATTTTTGCGTTCTCGAATTAATTTGAATGCGCTCACGATTAAATTTTTAGTTGAAATTTGGTATGAGTAAACTAGACTTGATGAATAAGATGCTCAAAAAAATTCATCAAAAAATTCCAATGAGAACCGCCCCAAATCGCGACGACCGGACATAGACTCCTAGAAAAGAACTTAATTGATTTTTTTATGAAAGTTCAAGCACCTTTTTTATTTTTTCCTAAATTTAGATCGTCCTACATAACTCCTTCATGGATTTTGGAGGGTCATCTTTCTTAAAGAGATTTATCGGACTTGACTCATAGTCACGTGGAGAGGATACTTTTCTGCCACTTGCCCAACCTGTCTTTTCCATTCGGATGAAAAATCTCCAGAAATTCCTTCCCTTCCACGGCACTCTCCCAATCCATCTTTGCAATCTTTGAATATTGTAGTCGTACAATATGAATACGTATCTCTCGTTAAATGATCCCACTACTGGAAAGTCCTGTTCTCCGTAAATTGAATCGAAATAATCTTGTTTGGATCGGAGTGGCAAGGGCAGTTTTCCCGGGTTCTTCGCGTGTTTCTAATGCTCAAATGTTCTGGAGAAGCGGAGCTTGATCAAACATGCCTCCCGTCTCAACGCATCCAAGCTCATCTCACATCACTGCACTCTCTCAGGAGATCGAGAAGAAGCTTCAACGCGTATGAACATTTGTATCGATTTATTGTATTTCAAATTCGGCATTTTGTGATTCTGCTCTTCTTGTACTTCTGTTGCATTCGACTTCATTACTTATATGTTTATAAGTTATTGAAACGTGTGAATTTTGTTTTTCAGGCATTGACACCGCCTTCTCAGACGCGCGATTTGTTGCAAGAACTGTTCGCAGACATAGCTTTGGAAGTAGACGATCGAGCAAAAGGTGACTACTTTTTCTCTCCCTTCATATATACTTTGTTCAGTATGGATCAAATACAATTAATGTTCACCTGGGGCATTTAGTGTGCAGCCTATAGTGTATAGGCAGAGAGCCAAAGGGGGCGGTGGGAGCATCCTACTCCACCTCGACCCGGCCTACTAATTCTTTTAATATTTTACGGAGTATTATGTATTCATCTTTTTATGTATAACCTGCATACAACTTTTAAACTTCACCCCTCGAAATCTGGAAAAATTACCTTTCCCCTGCAAAGTAAAATCCTGGCATAGGGGCAATGGGCATATTTTTCTTGAGTGTAAGGACATTTTCCATTAAACTATACTTAGGGAACTAATAAGTGATAACTGATAACTAAGAGTGAGTTATGTGAAGTGATTTCACCGTGATAAGATATGGCCTCCTTGGCCCCTCCTTCATTTTTTGCTCTAATGGCATAACTTGAATATCTCGTATTTTTATTTCTGTTGAATATCAGGCTGCAAAATAAGCTGCACAGTACATGCAATTATATATAATTTATTGATTACAATGGTTTAGAGCCATCACACTGCACTACTGCAGCATCACTCAATTGTAAATGGATCCCTAATCCATGAATATGGTTTATTCCTTTTTAGCATGGAGATAAATTAGCTGGTATTAGAAATATAGGATCTAGTATTGGCAGTGCAGCTAATTGGAGAAGTCATCTAGTATCATCTGGAGAAGATACACACATGGAAAACTTTTTGGTTACATGATTTTGTTAGTCACTAATTCTTTGATGTTGGTATCTCTTATTATTATTGTTGTTGTTTATTAGGGGGGTTTGACTCTCCACCCCACTTTTTGGGTGATATTGGACTTTGCACCCCATTTTGAAAAAACATTGACTTTGCACCCATCATATAACATAACATTTGTGAAGAAAAATTTCTCAATGGGGTGCAAAGTCAAATGATTTTTAAGTGAAATAGGGTGCAAAGCCTTTTTTTCCAAAATGGGGTGCAAAGTCCAATATCACCCAAAAAGTGGGGCGCAAAGTCAAATCCCCCCTTGTTTATAAGTTTATTATTATCATTATTATTCTATTATTATTATTACTATGTGATTTGTTTCTTTCATTTAGTGATGTATCAAAAGTGATCTGGAAGCTATGCCTAAGAACTTTCATCCACTACAAGCACCACTAGGACATACTGTGAAGTTGTTTTTCACCTATTCATGATATCAGGATATGGAAGTGGGGGTTTGGGGCAAGTAGTAGCATGTGTTTTCTAAATAAAAGTGTCTTTGACCTTCTTGAAGCATTATTGTTAGTGTGTGTTTGTGTGTGTAAGTCGCTGTGAGTGTGACCCTGCCATACCATTGTCTCACATTTTAACAAAATGTAGATTTGTGTACCGTACCTGTGTCCATGCATGGCTATTGGCTAGGGAACTGGTGAATGTGCATCTTTGCTTATTAAAATCAAGGACCAGTGCTCTTTTCTAGTTTAGGTGCTTTGTGTGCGCACTGTGCATAATGTAAATATGCTCTATTCAGGGTCTTATGATGTCCACGTAATTGCACAGAAATAATTTTCAGCAGTGAAGATGTAATAGCTGCCACAAAGGAAAGGATAGAGGGTCCAATTTGCTACTATGATGTGCTTGCTGAGCATTTCATTATTGTATCCCACAATGGGAAAGCAATCCTTGATTTGATTGTTCAGCTTTGGAGCCAGTCTTTTGCATCTAATATCTTTACCCTTTTGTTTCACAAGTGGGTAAGTTAAGTGCCTGCATTTAAGCTCAAATTTGTGCATCATAAGTTCATGTTTCCTCATATGCCTGTGTACACGTGTGAACATGATGATGAATTAACATGAAACATTTTTTAGTTTGTATTTTCTATTATTCCCTCATTTTAAGACGCATGCAGTCTATTTCAGTTGTTTGAGGTTGAACACGACAATTCTGAAGTCCTTCTTCGGTACTCATTAGCTCTGGTTCAAGGTGCTACTAATGTATTCTGGTATGAATTTAGTCATTTCTGGAGCTATACTTTACTGGAATCATGCGTGTGTCACTCACTGATAGAAGCAGAAAACCTTAGCAGACGTTAGCAGATTTAGGCTCAAACTAAATCTTTATTCTCGATAATGAATAATAGTTCACAAGACCTCCTTAAATACATCTTAACCTAATAATAAAACATGGCCATCTAGGCCCAGTAACCTAATAATATAATAAAATATGGCCATCTAGGCCCAACAGTTTATTAGAAATACTCCCTCCGTATTTAAAAGTTTCCTACACTTTCCTTTTTGGGATGTATTTAAAAGCTCCCTACACTTCCATTTTTGGTAAGTTTATCCTTTATAAAATACTCAATTACCCTTACTTTATCTACTTTTTATCTTTTCTTTCACACTTTTACACGCCCTCTCCTACTTTTTCTAGACTATTAGGGTAAAATACTCAATTACCCTTACTTCACTACCCTTATTATTCTATCCTAAAATATTGTGCCAAAAGCAAATGTAGGGAACATATAAATACGGAGGGAGTAACAATTGAATGAAATAAAGTAATAAAACCCAGCAGTCAACCCAGCCCAATTAGGTCCACTGACAGTGACAGTAAACTAATAATGGGCGAGGCCAGTCCTCTTAGCATCGGCCCAGTTGCCTCCTCCTAGAGCCTCGGCCCATCTGCCCCCCACTCCCTAACAATTTCCTCCCCCTCCAAAACAACCTTGTCCCCAAGTTTGGAGTGAGGAAGCTGCTGTTGGCACTGCTGCACCCCCAATCCATGTCGTATCATCTTCCGACTGACCAACCAACTGCACCACTCATGCTCCACATCCCGCCACAATAAAGTGGCGGGTTCTTCTTCTATTGCAACCGCCCAAAATTCCATGTCCCTGATCCAAAGCAGGGCTTGTAGGTCCACCTGTTTCCGGCAGAGTGCCGGGTCTCCTCGTAATACTACCGGCCTGCCCTGACAGTCAAATGACATAGTCATCATATCCCAGTTGGTCCGAACCTCTCCCAAGGATGCTAGCCAGGTTACTACCAGTATAACATCCACTCCTCCCAAAGGAAACACATAACAATCTGTTCGAACTTCGCACCCCGGTAGCGAGATCAACACCCCCTTGCAAACCCCTTCTGATTCTTGGCGACGACCGTCCCCTAGCTGTACACCAAACTTTCCTGTCTTTTCTTCCTTTAATTTGAGTCGTGGTACAAGGGCGGCTGAAATAAAGTTGTGACTTGCGCCACAATCCACCAAGATGGTCACTATGAACCCCTCAATCACGCCTTCGAGTCGCATTACGGGGACTAGAAATTCCCGCCATCGAATATACGGGTAAGTCCAGAGCCGCTGCTTGGTGCTCCTCCTGTTCCCCTAGCTCCCCTAGCTGCTCAACCTCTTCGGGCGGGATAAAAGATTCAGTTTGGTTGAGGTCGAGTTCCTCATCTTCCTCGACAACCATTACTCTTAACTGTTTTAAGGGACGTTCATTCCCGGGTGTATAAGGCTTCTTGCAACGGAACTGTGGAAACCCTAGTAGTATTGGGCTTAGCCCATTTGTATAGGAAACCCTAGTACTCTAAATATAGCTATAAATATAGCTTCTTGTATAGTATTTCATCATCAAGTATATGAAATATAATAATACTTGTTCACATGGTATCAGAGCCTATTCGGCAAATATAGAGGCCGTTTGGCAACACTGTTTTTCGGCTTATCAGGCTTATCAGCAAACTTTTTCACCAAACACATAATTTTCGCTATCGTGCGCTGAATTGTGTAATAAGCAGAAAAAGTAAGGTTGGAGTTACTTTTCTGGCTGTATTGGCTGAAGTTACTGTAGATGACCATTTTAGCTATTTTTACATATAATTTTTTCTTTATTTTATTAATAAAATATATTTTAAAAATATTTTTTTCTTAAATCAGCAGAATCAGCCAATGCAGCCACTTCAGCAAGAACTTCATAAATTTCAGCAGAATCAGCCAAAACAGCCAATTTTCGTGCTACCAAACGGGCTCATAGTTAGCTAGTTAGTGTTATAAACTGCCGCTCCGAATCCGGACAGAAATCCAGGCCATAATTTCCGGCGTGAATAGTGGTCGCAACTCACTTGAGTGCTTTTGGTAGTGATACAAGCCTACCATCGTGCTCAGCTCTACATAGCGACTTACCGCCGGAAGTTTCGCCGCCGCTGCCTCACCCACGCGCCGCCAGCCGTCGCTGAAAGTCCGCACCTGCAGGTACACATCTTTGCAGATCTGCTCCGTCTTAGTCGTCTGGGAGCGACACCGACAGTTTTTTCAGAAACCTAGGTCCCTGACGACCTAGACCAGTCAGTCCGGTCCGCCGCCGCTCCCACACGCGCCGCCGCTTCCACACGCGCCGCCGCTTCCACACGCGCCGCTCATATCGGTTGTCGCCGTCTCTCTGGCCGCTCGCCGCTGCTCTGGCCGCTCGCCGCTGCTCTGGCCGGTGCTCTACCTATTTGACGGAATACCAGGCAGTTTCTTCCGCTGCTTCACTGCTCTCTGGATTGCTCTCTGGTCTGCTCTCTTGGTCAACACAGTCCAGCAGTCCAGGGAAGGTCTTTGTCAACCCACTCCAGCTGGATTACTTTTGTTTTTCTATTATTGGCAAACTGCTGAAGTTCTACTGAAGCGTTGATCCCCTCGACAGGTTTTAATTTTTATCTCCTGTTTGTTTGCTAATTTTAGCTTTTCATTCCTTTTATAAAACAAAAAAAAAAAAAAAAAAAAAAGAAGAAAAGAAAAAAAAAAACATAAAGAAAAAAAAAAAACAGAGAGAGAGAGAGAGAAAAAAAAACAGTACAAAAAAAAAAAATTGTCTTTTATGAGTTCTGACAGAGGAAACAACACCGGATACTCAAGATGGAATCGTCCTAAATGTGATTTTTGCCATAAAATCGGTCATACTAAAGACAGGTGTTGGAAATTACATGGGAGACCACCTCCCTCAGCCCATGTTGCTCAGCTCCCACCATCTCCCATTGTTCTATCACCAGAGGAATATGCAGCATATCAGCAATTTAAGGTGACTAATATGCCTTTATCCACACCTGATGTGTCTACTGCTTGTGTTTCAAACACAACAGGCTCATGGATCATTGACTCAGGTGCCTCAGATCATATTTCTGGTAATCCCTATCTTTTATCCAATATAACCAAGCAGCGACATCTTCCTTTGATTACTCTTGCTAATGGCCTTCAAACTTCGGCTTCGGGTATTGGGCAAGCACTTCCATTTTCATCCTTACCATTAGACTCCGTCTTATATGTCCCTAACACCCCTTTTAACCTTGTCTCTGTCAGTAAAATTACACGTGCTCTTAATTGTTCCGTAACATTTTCTGCTGATTCTGTGATTGTGCAGGACCGTTGTACGGGGAAAACGATTGGCGTCGGACATGAATCTCAAGGTCTGTATCACCTCCATCCTCTTGATCCAATCGTTTGTGTTTCAGTTGAACCTGCTCTTACCTTACACAATCGTCTGGGTCATCCTAGCCTCTCCAAGTTTCAACGTATGGTTCCAGGTTTCTCAAATCTTTCATCTTTAGATTGTGAGTCATGTCACCTTGGAAAACAACCTCGTAAATCCTTTCCAAGGCGAGTAAATAAACGGGCTACATCACCGTTTGATTTAGTTCATACAGATGTATGGGGTCCGTATCGGGTCACTTCTACTTTAGGTTTCCGTTACTTTGTTATTTTTGTGGATGATTTTTCCCGTTACACGTGGTTGTTCTTAATGAAGGAGCGTTCTGAATTGTTTCATATTTTTCAAACTTTTTGTGCTGAAATTCAAACTCAGTTCGGTCATTCTATCAAAATTTTACGCAGTGACAATGCTAAAGAATTTTTTGGGGCATCCTTTAATCAATTCATGACATCACGGGGTATGCTTCACCAATCATCTTGTGTTCACACGCCTCAACAAAATGGGGTTGCTGAACGCAAGAACCGACACTTGGTTGATACTGCCCGTACCTTATTATTACATTCTCATACACCGCCTCAGTATTGGGCAGATGCTGTGCTCACTGCGTGTCATTTAATTAATAGAATGCCTTCCTCAGTTCTTAATAATGAAATTCCCTATTCTATTTTGTTTCCTGCTCGTGATTTATTTCCATTACCACCCCATGTGTTTGGGTGTGTGTGTTTTGTCCATGATACGACACCTGGATTACCTAAAATGTCGGCTAGGTCAATAAAATGTATCTTTCTTGGATATTCGCGACTCCAAAAGGGTTATCGCTGTTATTCTCCATTACTTAAGAAACATTTTATTTCAGCTGATGTCACTTTCATTGAGTCGTCCTTTTACTATCCATTATCTTCAGTTGATACCCCGTCATATTTGGACTTCACCTCATATCTCCGGCCCATCCATCAGGAGGCTCCCATTAACCCTCCATCTGATGAGCACCCAAACTTCCCTCCTATGTCAGACCGTCCATTACAGGTATACCATCGACGTCCTCGACCTCCTTCCATTGAGCCCATCGTGGCCACGCCCATTGATTCCCCTATGACGGATCCTGCATCACCACCATCACCTACTCCAGCACTTGAAACCACTCAGGATGATTTGCCCATTGCCCTGCGAAAAGGTACGCGTTCCACATTGAATCCACATCCCATTTATAACTTTTTGAGTTATCACCGTCTCTCTACCCCTTACTATGCTTTCATTTCCCACCTGTCTCATATATGCATTCCTAAAACCACACATGAGGCACTGGCACACCCAGAGTGGCGTAAAGCCATGTTGGCTGAGATGGAGGCTCTTCATTCTAGTGGGACGTGGGACTTAGTCCCCCTTCCCACTGGAAAATCAGTGGTGGGATGTCGGTGGATTTACACAGTTAAAGTTGGGCCTGATGGGAAGATTGATCGTTTTAAAGCACGCCTTGTGGCAAAAGGGTATACTCAAATATATGGTTTGGATTACACTGACACTTTTTCTCCTGTAGCAAAGATTGCATCAGTTCGTTTGGTTTTATCCATGGCAGCAATGAGCCGCTGGCCATTGTTCCAATTGGATATTAAAAACGCATTCCTTCACGGAGATCTGCACGAGGAAGTTTATATGGAGCAACCACCTGGATTTGTTGCTCAGGGGGAGTCTGGTATGGTGTGCAGATTACGTCGTTCATTATATGGCTTGAAGCAATCTCCACGTGCATGGTTTGGGAGGTTTAGTGACGTTGTCTGCAGCTTTGGCATGATTCGCAGTGATGTCGATCACTCTATATTCTACAGACATTCTGCTGGCAACAAATGTATTTATCTTGTTGTGTATGTTGATGACATTGTCATTACAGGTAGCGATGATCAAGGAATTGCGCTCCTCAAGCAACATCTCTTTAGCAAATTTCAAACAAAAGACTTAGGAAAGTTGAGATACTTCCTTGGCATTGAGGTTGCACAGTCTCAAGATGGAATTGCTCTCTCACAAAGAAAGTATGCCTTGGATATTCTTGAGGAAACAGGATTGCTAGATTGCAGGCCGGTGGATACACCAATGGATCCGAACGTTAAACTATTATCAGAACAGGGAGATCTTTTGCCCAACAAGGAAAAATATAGAAGACTCATCGGCAAATTGAATTATCTTACCATCACAAGACCAGATCTTTCATTTGCGGTAAGTGTTCTTAGTCAGTTTCTTGATAAGCCATGTACTGGACACTGGGATGCAGCTATCCGAGTTTTAAGATACATCAAGAAAACTCCAGGGCAAGGGTTGTTGTTTGAAGATCGAGGCCACCATGATATTGTGGGATATTGTGATGCAGACTGGGCCGGATGTCCTATGGATAGACGTTCCACTTCGGGATATTGCATCTTGATTGGTGGAAACTTAATTTCATGGAAAAGTAAGAAACAAGATGTGGTTGCCAGATCTAGTGCTGAAGCAGAATATCGTGCAATGGCCCTTGCTACATGTGAAATCTTATGGTTGAAGCATCTTCTCCAAGAGTTAAAATATGGGAACACAAAACCGGTTCAACTCATGTGTGATAATCAAGCTGCAATGCACATCGCATCAAATCCGGTATATCATGAGAGGACAAAACACATTGAAGTTGATTGTCATTTTATCCGAGAGAAGATCACGAGTGGACATATCATCACAAAATATGTGAAGACAACTGAACAACTAGCAGATATTTTAACTAAGTCTCTTAGAGGTCCTAGAGTGGAATATATTTGTAACAAGCTTGGTACATATGATCTATATGCTCCAGCTTGAGGGGGAGTGTGGAAACCCTAGTAGTATTGGGCTTAGCCCATTTGTATAGGAAACCCTAGTACTCTAAATATAGCTATAAATATAGCTTCTTGTATAGTATTTCATCATCAAGTATATGAAATATAATAATACTTGTTCACACAAAGCCCTTTTGCACGTAGGTTTGCAAGTTCCTGCAGTGAGAGGCGTGTGAACCGAGAGCGATTCTCCGACTGGCCATTCATGGCTGACCCGGACCCCGAGGTACTACCTGGAGATCGCAAGGAAGTTGTGCTTCCTGCTGCCCCTTGGTTTCCAGTAACTGGCGTGGAAGAGAACCCCGAAAACCCGCCAACTCTGGTGTAATTACTGGAACGGCACTGCTGATTGTTGTCTCCCCGTTCCGATCTCCCTCCGGATTGTACGGCCAAGTCTTCTTCGATATCTCTTGCTAACTGCGTAGCAGCTTCCAAATCAGCTGGCCGTAGGATCCGTAAGGAACTGCGAATGGTGTCCCGTAGCCCTTTCATAAAGTACCCCAAGTAGTGGGCATCACTCAAACCTGGGACCTGACTGGCTAATTGCACGAACAAATTCACATAGTCATCCACGAATCCTGTCTGCTTAACGTCGGCCAACCATTCGAACGTTCTCCTTTTGAACCGAGTATCAAAACGGGCTACAAGGGCTTGTGAAAACTCCTCCCAGGCTATGTCTGGTCTGGTTTCCGCGACCGTGTCCAAGAAAGTCAGTACAAAGCAGGACCCTCCATTGCTACCATGGCCGACGCCACCTTCAACTCAGGTCGGGTTTGATGGATTTCAAACTGCTGATTGGCCCTGGCAAGCCATCCAATCGGGTCTGCCCCCTCAAACGCCGGTAGCACCAGAGGCGCGGTCACATACCTAGGGTTGTGGGAGTTCTGCGAGTCAGCCGTGCCTCCTCCTCCCGACTCAGAATCAGCCAGCGGTTCCCCCGACGCCATAACATTCTACGCCAGTTTGTCTAGGGTTTGCGTGATAGCATCCAACTTGGCGTTGGTGGATTGCAATTCTGCCCTGATGTCCTTCTGGTCCGCTTCTATCGCATCAATGCGTTGATCAACGGTGGAACGAGTCATGATGAACGTGGGGCGGTGGATAGGATCCGGCAGGTCGGACCAAATTGATGGAAGCAGAAAACCCTAGCAGACGATATTAACGTCTACCCCAGCCTTAGGCTCAAACTAAATCTTTATTCTCGATAATGAATAACAGTTCACAAGACCTCCTTAAATACTCCTTAACCTAATAATAAAACATGGCCATCTAGGCCCAGTAACCTAATAATAAAATATGGCTATCTAGGCCCAGCAGTTTATTAGAAATAACAATTGAATGAAATAAAGTAATAAAACCCAGCAGTCAACCCAGCCCAATTAGGTCCACTGACAGCGACAATAAACTAATAATGGGCGAGGCCAGTCCTCCTGAAGCATCGACCGAGTTGCCTCCTCCTAGAGCCTCGGCCCATCTGCCTCCTAACACTCACTCACTCATCAATTTTTTTATAAAACTATGAGGACTATAAGGGTCTTTTTGGAGCTTGGAAACTATATGGGAAATTTCGAGTGAAATAAGATGTAGGAGAAAATAAAACATTGGTTCAAACTGATGATGAAAATGTCGAAGATACACAATATTTGCACTGTTGTATTTAAATGTCTCCAAAAGAATTATTGTGGGTAACGGAACTTCTTGCGAATATCGAAGAAAATGTGTAAAATGCTATGTAGCACGGAAACTCTGAGGAAAGAGTATTTTCCTGCTTCCTCATGATTTTCGTGTTTCCGTGCAATATAGATAAAATGTTAAAAGAATAGAATTATACACCCTTTGTCCCATTTTCGTAAGATACCATTTCATTTTTTGGTTGTTCCAAGAATATGAATATTTTGCAAGGTTGAACTCATCTAACTATTTACTTTCCTACTTCATCCCTTAATCTATCATCTCAATTTTTTACTTTTTGTGGGCTCGTACTACTTTTTCATACTTTTTTAAGGTTATAATTGTAAAAATACAACTAGTCATTTATTTTCTTAAAACTCGTCTGAAACCCAAATGTATCTTACATTTCAGAAGTGAGAGAGTAGCAAAATCTTTAATAAAATATAGAAAACATATCAAAAAGAATTTTAAATACTTATCATTCTCCTTGGAGTTTTCTCAGATAAAATTCAACACAAGAAAACAACTATCGTTAGCATTTTGTTTCCATTTAAAGCTACTTATTATTGTGAGGTCTAAACATACCAAAGTGATTTTGTTTTTTATGTGGAAGATAGAAACATATACAAATGTTCTCATTGTCATAATATTCCAGGATTGACATTCAAACAAACACAAGACGGTTTCAGAGTCTCTTTCGGGTGAGATACAGTGGATGTGCAAAACTGTTATATCGCAGTGAAATGTTTTAACATTCATATGTTCTTTAAACTGGCTGCAGTATCTTCTTGTGGAAGTCTCTCTTCTTCCTGATCGGTTGAAGAAGATACCCTTGCAGGTCTAAATTTATTGCTGATTCTTGTTTGATGAAATAGTTAGTTCTATGCTCCGTTTGGCAGCCTTAGTTGGCTTATTCCGCTTATCAGCAAATAAGTACAATAATCACAATTAGTAGCTTTTGGCTTAGTTATTAGTCTGAAATGGGACCAAACGGGCCTTTAATATGCTTGCCTAAGGAGCATTTTCTTAAGAACCACTATCATGCCTCGTCTTGAACCGTCTTCAGGCTCAACGCAGTTTGTTTCTCCTCCTATCAAGGTTTCTTCTTTTCTACGACTCAGGTAAGCAAAGAACCTAACTGTTTTGCATTAGAGGCTCAGACAAACTTGCTTAGTTGTTCCTTGTTTGCTCACAGTTGAACAGCTGGAAAGCTTCTTTAAGCAATTTCCTGATTATCCAAATGCTTTCTTGATTGGTGGTCCAGCTGATATTTTTGTGACTGAATTAGCTGATCAGGTAAGAGATTTTTTACTCTAAGGGCCCGTTGGAACACGGAAAATTCTGGGAAAGAATAGTGCGGAAATTCAAAAGGGAAGAAAACTTTTAGGGAAAATTAACTGGTTCATACTTGATAAATAAAGTTTAGATACATGTTCCAAATCATTTTATTCAGATATTTTATTATATAGAAAGACTAAAAAAAAGAGTGTTTGCGTTTGCTTCTACTTTTGAGAGAGTTTTTTTCCCTGAATAATGCTAATTAAATAAATAATTCGCAAAGTATTGTTGGGTTAAAAATAATTCCCAAAATAAGCCGTGGTCTAAGAAAAGCCGTCAGTCAAAGTTTATATAGTAAATGATGGTAGTATTTGAAGAGAAAAGTGATTTGAAAAAGTAAAGGCTAGTGTTTTGTAAAAAGACTAATTAAGCAGAAGTTCTTGTTTGATAACACTATTTTTAGCTTTTTTAAAGGTTAAAAGCTCTAAAATACTTTTTTAAGCAAAAGAAAACACTCACTAATACTCCGTAGTATAGATAAATGTTAACTTGAATTTCTTTTAACCGAATTTAGTTTTTCCTGGATTTTATTTATTTATACCAATAACAGCTTCAGAAACTGAAGGTTGAGCCGGTGTTGTTGTATTACTTGTCCCAGATGAAAGTTTTTAGTGGTATGTACTTTTTAATAGTAGTTATGAAAAACCTTCGTTGATGTAGGAAGCCACTACATATTTTAAGATATAATATATTCTTCAGGGTTAGAATTGAGAATGGCAACAAGCACGAGACTGAAAACTTGTCTGTACAGCTTCACAAGCCCGGGTGCTCCTATGTATCCTACACGAGCAGTTCGCCATGCTGCCTGGGAGTCCCTAAATCTGCTTTTTCCTGTGAGGACTACCACATACTCAATTATAATTTAACTGAAGTTTTAGAAATGTGCTCACATATTAAAGAATATTCATATTCTTATAAAGGCCCAACATTAAATGCTTCTTATATCTTTTCAAGGCAATATAGCATTGCTTATGTAAAAAGTCAATGAGGACCGGTTTGGGAGATCAATACAAATATGTATTGATCTCCAAAAAATGACTTTTTTCGGGACAAAGAAAAATGCTACAATGACAACTAATTTGGGATGGAAGGAGTAGTATCTTCCTATAAATAGGACTAACAAACTCATAGCGCTTTAAATATGTCATGTGACCAACAGACCCATGCTCATTTCCCCCATTCATGTTTCCGTTGGCCTGTGATGCCAGCGGCAGCCCGCTGCCTTCCACTCGTTCAACTATTTATCAGAAATCAATGTCTCACTGACCCCTATTACGGTTCACCATTCACCTTTTCCCTGGTCAGTGAACCACTGGTGGCCGCAGTGGTCAGTGAGCCATTGACTTGTGTGCACTAAGTGACTGAAAATACAAGGGCATATTAGACTATTGGGTGACAATTACTATCTCGTTTTTGCTCAAATAGCTTTCCTTTTTTGCATTCTGGACTTCTGTAATGCTTTATGGATGTTTTTAAAATTGTGAATTGGACAGCATGTGGTGGTTGTTGAAATGACATATTTGGTGCTTCCGCTGTGCAGGTTGGTAGGTATCCTAGACACTTAATAAGTATCTTCTTTCGATTGCTATACCCATGGTACTGGCCTGCTTCGTGTTGGAACTTTGTAAAGGCATGCATCATGGCAGTGTTTTACCCAATTCTGAGATTGATCTTCTCTGTTTGGGAAAGATTAAGAAAACCAAAAGAAAGATAAAACCAGCAGAGCATATTTTTTAAGTTTCTTCTCAGTAGGGCTATAAAAATGTATGGTCACATAAACTGTTGTAAGCTGGAGGAAATGGGTAAAAGTTATAATTTTGTGTTATAGTTTCGACACTGATTTGAATTCATTGGTGCTGGAGTCAACAAACTGAGGCAGTACATGCTGTGTTATATATTCATTGTTTTGCCTCTTCGCTTGAGAATGTGTTCATGCTAGGAGCCTAGGAGTCGACACTAGCCAGTCATCTGAACCTCCCAAAAGTATGAACTGGTAGTGGGAATGGAAATGAGTTCCAAACAAGTCGGTTGAACCGGTTTTCAAATAAAAACTATATACCACGTATCATATTATTATTAAACATGGAACTGGAAATAAGTCTAAGTGTCTAACCAGTTGAACCAGATTTGAGTTCTTGTTCCAATCCTCAAAAACAGTTCCAACCAGAGTTAAAAAAACGGCCAAATTCGAGAACTATGTCCACCTCTGGTTTTGCGGTGTTTGTTATGGACTTAGTGAACTTCAGCTCATTGTTCATGGGCAGTTCTGAAAGTTTCAAATTCAAAGTAAGGTTGGAGTTTTGAGTTTTGTAATAATCAAAATAAAGTTGGAATTACTGCATTGAGTGAAGTCATTGTAGACCGTAGAGGGTCATTTTAACTATTTTTCATGTAATCTTTTCTTTACTTTATTAGTAAAATATATTTCAAATAGGCTAAAGGGTCAAATAGGCACATGAACTAACTTAAAGTGTTCAATTAGCCTCTTATGTAGGATGTTCTGCCCGGCCGTCGCCAATTGCGGCAGTTTTCACCAATTGCCCCTTATATAGGATGTTCTGCCCGGCCGTCGCCAATTGCGGCAGTTTCCGGTGAAATTTTTTTATGAAATTTTTTGAACATCTTCATCATTAAGTCTAGTTTACCCATACCAAATTTCAGCTGAAAATTCAACCGGAAAAGCAATCAAATGATTTTTTGAAAATAACCGTGTAGCTAAACGGCACAGTACATTTCGGAAAATCATTTGACTGCCTTCCCAATTTAATTTTTAGATGAAATTTGATATGGGTAAACTAGACTTAATGAAGAAGATGTTCAAAAAAATCCATCAAAAAATTTCACCAAAAACCGCCCCAATGGGCGACGGCCGGGCAGAACATCCTATATAAGGGGCTAATTGAACAATTTAAGTTAGTTCATGTACCTATTTGACCGTTTAGCCTTTCAAATATAACTTTTTTATAATATAACAGAATCAATCCAACTAAAACTCATAATTTCAAAAATGATAAACTGAAATGTGTTAAAATAACTGGCGGTGGCACATTGTGTTCAGTGGAGGACCTAAGGGGGGGCTAGATGGGGCGCGTGCCCCTGCTTCGAGCCCGGAATTTCACTAGTAGTACTTAGGATAAAAACGAGTGTCCCAGCTTCATACCAGTATTTGATAATTAAGATACTAAAATGTTACGGTTATATAAATAAAAAATTAATACAAAATATTTAAATTTTAGCTGAATTAAAATAAAAGTTGCCTTGATCCTAGAGATAGTTCTCCAATTTTTGTGAGTCAAAGCTACTGAACCTTGCGGAGTTATATTCATGCGATTTTTCATTTGTTGATCGAATGGAGCTGAAAGAGCAACTCCAGGTGTGGATATATGAAATGAGAACAAGTGAGTTAATTTCTGTCGTACAAACTATTGGTGAAGTTTGTAAGAAGATGGTTGAGCTTAAAGTTCACAATTCTTTCCACTTGGTATATCTCTGATTGAGTTGGTTTTAGTGTTACCAGTTACAACGGCCACCGTTGAAAGAACTTTCTCTGCGATGAATATTATCAAGACAGATCTTCGCAATAAGATGGGAGATGACTATCTTACGGATTGCTTGGTGTGCTACATCGAGAGAGATGTTTTTAGAAGCATCGATAATGAAACTATTATGCAACATTTTCAGAATATGAAAGCTCGTAGGCTTGATTTACCAAAGTTGCAGCAGTGAACTATTTAATATGTAATTACCTATTCTGTATAATTCAATACATTTTTTTTTTACCATTTTTATTACATTTGGAGTTTTTATTATAGACTAACTTTAGTGTCTAGTGTGCCCCTGCTCTCACAAATCTCTGGGTCCGCCACTGATTGTGTTAATTCCGGTCCAAACTCTAATGTGGTGTTAAAATTCAAAAGCATAATACTCATTGTGAGAAAAGGTTTCAAATCCAATATCACAACCAAGGCGTTAACGGTTAACCCATGGATGTATGTGCGATTGTGCGAAGGCATAATACTCATTTATGTATGTGCAAGTGCAGTTGAACATTATGTTATGGGTTACCATTTTTTGCATTTTTAAGAGTAAAGGATCAAATTGATATCGAAGTTGCATAAAAAAAAAGTCAAATAAGTCCTTGTATAGGAGGCTCTGTCCGACCGTCGCCATTTGGGCAGTTTTGAGCATCTTATTCATTAAGTCTAGTTTACTCATACCAAATTTCAGCTAAAACTTCAATCGGGAACACATTCAAATGAATTCTTGAAGATAAATGCGGAGGTTATCTTCAAGAATTCATTTGAGTGCCTTCCTTATTGAAGTTTTAGCTGAAATTTGAATGAGTAAACTAGACTTAATGAATAAGATAGTCCTGGACTCGGGCCGGTTCGGGTCCGGGCCAGGCCTCAGCCCGGGCGGGCCGCCGATTCTGAATAGGTGGGCCCGGGACCGGCCCAGGTAGCCACCGGGTCCGGTCCGGGTCCGAGTCGGGGCGGGCCTCAGTTCAATTTTTTTTCCTTTTCCTAATTAACCCCCCACCCTCCAACCCCCCAAACCACCCCAAATGGCCCAAAATACCCAGCCCAACCCGAAAAGTTAAAAAAATTGAAAAAGAAAAAGTTAAAAAGCCCAGAACCGGGCCCGAACCGGCCGGGCCGGTTCGGCTTTTGGGTGACCCGAGCCCGCATCGGGAACCCCCCGGGCCGGGCCTACCCGGACCGGTCACTGGCCGGGCCGGTTCAGCACAATACCGGTCCCGGGCCGGTTCCAGGTCGGGCCACCCGGCCCGAGTACAACACTAGAATAAGATGCTTAAAAAAATTAATCAAAAAATTCCACCGGGAACCGCCCCAAATGGCGAGGGCCGAACAGTAAGAACTTAGTTTACCCTTTTTATGCAATTTCGAGGACCAATCTGACTCTTTACTCCATTTTTAGATATATGTTTACCAATAATGTATCCATTGAAAAGAGGTCAGTGATTTTGTTGACTTATGGCTTTATGGGTAAGGCAATAAGCCATGGTAGTCACCAAATCAACACAATGTGCCACCGCCAGTTAGTTAATAATAAGTGCCAAAGTGCATAAACATTTGAATGGAAATGAATCTATGAGGCGAAAAGGCTCGAGAAAGCTCGATGAATTCATCAAGTACAAATTGGCACAATAGTTACACAAACTGTATAGAAACAACGATATGATGTCAGGGAATGGATCAATTTTCTTGCATCGATTCCGAATGGTACTTCTCCAACTCTGCGTCAAGGTCTTCCGCAGATATTTTCTCCCCTCCACGGCCTCTCCCTTGTCCCCGACCTCTTCCTCGAAACCCACCTTGTCCACCCCTTCCCCGGCCACCACGTGGTCTTCCAAAAACATCACCCCGTCCAGGACCACTGTTCAAATCCAAAACTCAGAAACATGAGTACATCAAACAGTTTCCGGTATTTTAGAACGAGCTTGTGAAAATGCAAAGTGAAAAGAAAGATAAGACAAATATTCGGGTATTTGGTTGGTTTAAAGGATTTGTGGATTTTGCAAGAAAACAAGGAAAAGAAAGTTCGAAGTGATGTTTTATGATACCTAGCGAAGTATACCTAAACATTGTTAGTAGTATACGGATCGTGAATAATACCATAGTACGTCCGTTCGTGTATTTACAGTACGATTACATAAATTACGGCTACACACATGTTTTATGTGCTCATGACATAGATCCAGATAGAGGTAAGGGTCAGATTGGTACTCGAATTTGCTTAAAAAGGGTCAATAAGTCCTTACTGTCCGTCCATCGCCATTTGAGGCGGTTCCCGGTGGAATTTTTTGATGAAATTTTTTGAGCATCTTATTCATTAAGTCTAGTTTACTCATACCAAATTTCAACAAAAACTTCAATCGGGAAGGCATTCAAATGAATTCTTGAAGATAGCTACGCTTTTAACTGCGCAAGAATTCATTTGAATGTCTTCCCGGTTGAATTTTTAGCTGAAATTTGGTATGAGTGAACTAGAGGTAATGAATAAGATGCTCAAAAAATTTCGTCAAAAAAATCCACCGGGAACTGCCCAAAATGACGACGGCCAGACAGAGCCTCCTATATAAGGATCTATTTGACCCTTTTTATGCAACTTCGAGTACCAATCTGACCCGTACCTCGATCCAGATACATACACGTTTTACACGTTTCACAATTTTAAAATATGGCATATGATAAGTGTCTTATATACTAATTAATAATATAATGAGTAATTTAACATATGGGACAAACTTCTTCAACAGTTTAAGATGTACTTTCTTCGAGTAAAAAAATTGAATTCATACATATAACTGTATAACAAGTAATAACTACAATAAAAACACCAACTTTAAATCAAATTATACCAACTTCAAACTTTTTATTGCAATCAGGCCAAGTAAAAATAAATCTCAAATCAAGGAGAGGAATAACATCAAGTTCACATAACTTTAAATGAAACAATAGCGTAAAAACAGGGGGAAACGATATAAAATCTGAAGTGATCAGCATTAAAACTTTTTTCAAATAGTAAATTTGATGATAAAAAATAAACATAAATTCTTTATAAATTTAGAACATTGACAAAGTCAAACAGGACAAAAAAAGGGCACAAATTTGATTTAATAAACTAATATGAATGAAAGTTGATTTTCATTTTTAGAAAACCTGATAGAGACTTAGAAAATTGATGAATTCATAAAATTACGTTTACTATTTGAGTAGAAATACGGTAGAAGGAAATTACTAATGAATAGTTGATTAGGTGTCTTGGTACGGGTGGGAGAGTAATACAGAAGTAATTTCTAAACTCTAAGGTATTATATAATCTGAATTGTTTATGGCTTTACGGAACTAATTTATTGTATTAAATCTACTGACTTAAATAATTAACTAA